TTTTTTTTGGCTAAAGCTCACTCATGCTTGAAGACTCATTTCAGGGATCACCTCCTTCAGAACGCCTCCCTGAATCCCCGATCTGGCTCAGTGCCCTCCTCATGTGCCCACAGCATTCAGCCTTTACCTCTATTTTTTTATAGTAAAAGTATCTATTTTTGTGTCTTTCCACCCCTGCTCGATTGTACTTTTGTGGGCAAACACCGTGTCTCATTTTTCATTTTATCCACTGGCTTCTAGTCCCAGGCCTGGCAAATCACAGGTTTTTGTCAATATTTGTCAAACTCCAACTGATGAAAAGAATATTCAGGTGGGAGACTGCAGCAGGCAGCCAGCATGGCCCTGGTAAGCCTGGAGACTCTACCCCTCTCTCTATCAAAGAGCTAGTCTTTCCTGAGGAGTTGAGTGAGGGGCATAGTCGCATGCTTCTAAGTCCACATCACCCTGGAAGCTGATTGGGGCCATGGAGGTGCGACAAAAAAGGGGGGTATTTTGGTAAAATTGAGTGCTCAAAACCATACATTGAATTTCATCTGTGTGTGAGTTTTGGCTCTACTAACTCCTTGCCTTATCCTTTGAGTAGGTGAATTAAATAAGACTCACTTTCTCAAAATGTAAAAATAGAGATTAAAAATATTAGTACTCTCATAGGTTGTTGTTATGAAAATTAAAGTAGGCGTTAGGCTTATGTTAATTACTATTGTTAATATTTTTTTAATTTGGGGTGGTCCTGGGGAAGTTTCCAGTCAAGTCGTATCCCTGAGTCTCTAAAAGGCTAAGGAGATTCCTCCAGGAAATTGGGATCTGTTTCAATTTATGTCTGGGCCTGAGGAGAAAGAGATGGCATACAAAAAAATGACCATTGGCTTGGTCGTCAGAGTTGTCTCTTCTCCCTGTAATATGTCAGCCTGAAACCATTTTCTGGCAAGACTGGAAAGAGCAACTAGGAATTCAGAGAACATTTTCCACCTTTAATTCCAAAAACTGGTGTGGGTATTTACTAGCCACCTGCCTTCCTGACTTTTCTTTCATTCTTTCCTTCAGCGCTTTAGTTTTCTCAGAGGGCAAGCCTCTGATTCTGACCCAATGATAGCATATTCCCCATAAAAGCCTGTGACTACAATGTGTCTGCAAGGCTGAGGGAAGACAAAGACAGTGGTCCTCAATTTTCCTGGTATGTAAGATAAATAGGAATCTGTGCCCTGTTAATCAGGATAACTTTACCACAATGATCTTCCATGTCTTTTCACTTCCGTCACTTGTGGATGATCTGTGTCCTTGGGACTACCAGCTCCTGTCATCATGTTGGCTCTTGATTAAGGAGCTGCTCCAACTTTGCCCACCTTCTGTCGCCTCCTGAATGGGGTTTATCAAAATCCACAAAGTATCAGTGTTTTCAAAGGCGAAGGCAAGAAGCCAGCATCCTCCTTTGTCCATATTTCTCCAGGGTGAATGAGCATCTAACCTGTGCATGAGGGTCCCTGTGCATATCACACATTGCAAGCGCTTTCTCAACCTTTGTGATTCCGAACATCTTCAACCACCTTGCTCTTCCATGGTCTTCCTCATGGCCTCTCCTTCTTCGAATGAGGTCAAAGGGAGAGTCCCTGTTATGATGACCTCTAGTACCTGGAATAATGGGGAATGTGGGCCTCAGCACTCTGATGCCATTCTGGGGAACATGAAACCAAGCTAATCCACAGCTCTTTGGAGGGAAGACCTTTACAGTTATAGTATTCATCCTGATGTACTGTGTCCTGAAGGGAACTTCTCTCTCAGTATGAGTTTTGGGAATTTAAAGAGGTCCTACAGAGATACTAAGATCTAGTCAAGATTTGTCTATGAGGTCTATATTATGTTTTCCCAAGAAAATGGCTACAATGTAGATCACAAAATGGTTTTAAAAGAGGTTGATGTTTCAGGAACCTTCCTTGGTGTGCACATTTATTCATTTCAAAAGCTTTACGAGCACCTGCTAACTACTTAGGATTCCGTAGTAGATGAAAGAAACACCGTCCTTGCTCTTTTGTCACTCACAGTTTAAATGGATGAGTAAGATAATAATCATCCAATACTACAAATGAATGCATAATTTCAATGTTTTTTAAATGCCATGAAGGAAAAGTGGAGTCCAATGACAGCACATAACCAAAGAAGTTGACGATTTTTAAGGGTGAGGGAAATTTTTTCGGTGAAGTGATACTTAAGCTGAGATTTAAAGCATTGTTAAGAGTGAGGATGCCTCAGACACTCAGATGTTTGGGCTTGGAAGTTTGATTCAGCATTATTCTCTCTTTACTTTGCCTCAGTACATAAAATTGTAAGTTGTTCATCTTGTTATCTTTTTATATTGAAAAGTAAAGTGTATGCAACATTGAATAAAACTAAAAGAATTTTAGAAGAGGGGCACTTAAAGAAGAAACACTCATTTGAGGCAGGAATAATGGCACTTGAGAAGGTCCTGATGTAGACAATATCTTAATGTAACCCAGGGCAGAAAAGAAGAGCACTTGCAATATAGTAAGAGAGAGTGACAAAGGAGGGCACAGGAAGAGAAAGAAGGAGGGAGTTCATGCAAGGCTTTGCAGGTCTTCATAAAGAATCTGGTCTTTACATCAAGAGCAGGAGGAAACCATTAAAGAGCTTCAAGTAAGGAAGTGATGTTCTTAAACTTGGATTCTTTTTCTTTTTAAGCTTAGTGTGTATGAAGAAAGTAGAATTGAGACTATACTCTAGGGAGAGTTGGAGCTGTGAGTTCAGTAAGGAGGATACTATAATAGATTCATCAAGTGAAGATCAATGGTGCCTGGGCTATGATGGTTTCAATTGAGTTTCTTCCTGTTTTTCACCTTTTAGTGACTTGAGACCAGCAAATGAAATCCCATTTCTTCACAAAAATCTGTCTTCAGTTAAAAATAAATTTTGTGAGAGCAATTTTCATGTTTTATTAATAATAATTCCTAAAAATTCTTGACCCTTTCTATATTTGGGTTTAGCATTTGAGTGACTGACTGATCTTCTTCTTGTTGTAACTGGTTGCCTAGTCTGTTCCTAAGTGTATTTTACTGTATGGCTAAGAGCACATGTAGACTGGGTTTTGAGCACATCACACAGGCCCTCAGTTTAGCCACTGTACAGACGACATTTACTATGAATCAACTCACTTGGTTTCATGAGAAATCTCAAAATTGTAGCTTGCCTCCAGAAGTTTTGCATTTAGGGAAGGTATTTTTATCCCAAAAGGGCTCAATTATACACAGAGCAGGGAATTCTATTATAAGGGATTAGTCCACAATAAGTTTAATTCAGTATGTGCTCTTGCAAACCTATGTTACACAGAATTCTTGAGTATAATGACAACAGGGCAGGGAAGGCTGAAGACAACAGAAACAGTGAAAGTGGGGACCAAGATTCAAGTTCTATGTACCCTATTTTAGGCTGATTCTAGGGAACAATGGGGCTAGAAGACAGTAGAAAGGTTTCATTTGGGTTCCCATCACCAATATTCTCAGCTATTTCAAGTCACTCTTCAACTGAGTCTCCACCAGATGGTTTCAAGTACAGAACAGCTATTTGTGACTCCCATTGACATCTATTTTTCCAAGTGAGAGACAGCCCCATATGTCAGTGCAATATGGTGAAGCATCCGTTTGTGTTGGTAGGAACCTAACATTCGCTGGTCCCCTTTTCCTCATGCCTTTTCCTGCCTCTCTAATCTTTTCTAGGTCTCAGGCCTGTCAGGAGGACCATTGGCTGTGGTGGAAGATAGCGTCTAAGTCTCGTGTATGGCGTGGTTAAGGTTGCAGCCTCTCACCTCTGCCTTCCTCCATTTTGGGCTGGTTACTTTTGTGCTCTTCCTGAATGGTCTTCGGGCAGAGGCTGGAGGCTCAGGAGATGTGTCCAGCACAGGGCCAAGCAATGAGTCCTGTTCAGGTTCATCGGACTGCAAGGAGGGTGTCATCCTACCAATCTGGTATCCAGAGAACCCTTCCCTTGGTGACAAGATTGCCAGGGTCATTGTTTATTTTGTGGCCCTGATATACATGTTCCTTGGGGTATCCATCATTGCTGACCGCTTTATGGCATCTATTGAAGTCATCACCTCTCAAGAGAGAGAAGTGACTATCAAAAAGCCCAATGGAGAGACCAGCACAACTACAATTCGGGTCTGGAATGAAACTGTCTCCAACCTGACCCTGATGGCCTTGGGCTCCTCTGCTCCAGAGATTCTCCTCTCGTTAATTGAGGTGTGTGGACATGGGTTCATTGCCGGTGACCTGGGACCTTCTACCATTGTAGGCAGTGCAGCCTTCAACATGTTCATCATCATTGGTATCTGCGTCTATGTGATCCCTGATGGAGAGACTCGAAAGATCAAGCACCTACGAGTCTTCTTCGTCACTGCTGCTTGGAGTATCTTTGCCTACATCTGGCTCTATATGATCCTGGCAGTCTTCTCTCCTGGTGTGGTCCAGGTTTGGGAAGGCCTCCTCACTCTCTTCTTCTTTCCAGTGTGTGTCCTTCTGGCCTGGCTGGCAGACAAACGACTGCTCTTCTACAAATACATGCACAAAAAGTACCGTACAGATAAACACCGGGGAATTATCATAGAGACAGAGGGTGACCACCCTAAGGGTATTGAAATGGATGGGAAAATGATGAATTCCCACTTCCTCGATGGGAACCTTGTGCCTCTGGAAGGGAAGGAAGTGGATGAGTCTCGCAGGGAGATGATCCGGATCCTCAAGGACCTGAAACAAAAACACCCAGAGAAGGACCTAGATCAGCTGGTGGAGATGGCCAATTACTATGCTCTTTCCCACCAACAGAAGAGCCGCGCCTTTTACCGGATCCAAGCCACCCGTATGATGACTGGTGCAGGTAATATCTTGAAGAAACATGCAGCAGAACAAGCCAAGAAGACCTCCAGTATGAGTGAGGTACACACTGATGAGCCTGAGGACTTTATCTCCAAGGTCTTCTTTGACCCATGTTCTTACCAGTGTCTGGAGAACTGTGGGGCTGTACTCCTGACAGTGGTGAGGAAAGGTGGAGACATGTCCAAGACCATGTATGTGGACTACAAAACAGAGGACGGTTCTGCCAACGCAGGGGCTGACTATGAGTTCACAGAAGGCACTGTGGTTCTGAAACCAGGAGAGACTCAGAAGGAGTTCTCTGTGGGCATCATTGATGATGACATTTTTGAGGAAGATGAACACTTCTTTGTGAGGCTGAGTAATGTCCGCATAGAAGAGGAGCAGCCAGAGGAGGGGATGCCTCCAACAATACTCAACAGTGTTTCCTTGCCTCGGGCTGTCCTAGCCTCCCCTTGTGTGGCCACAGTGACTATCTTAGATGATGACCATGCAGGCATCTTCACTTTTGAATGTGATACCATTCATGTCAGTGAAAGTATTGGTATTATGGAGGTCAAGGTTCTGCGGACATCTGGTGCCCGAGGCACAGTCATCATCCCCTTTAGGACAGTAGAAGGGACAGCCAAGGGTGGTGGTGAGGACTTTGAAGACACATATGGGGAGCTGGAATTCAAGAATGATGAAACAGTGTAAGTAACCTTTCTGTATTCTAGCCCTCTCCACCTTATACCATGCTGCCTCTCTGTGTCCTACACTATCTTTTACAGCTCTTCCTTATGACTGTGTTAATGTCAAACTTTGGTTTCATCACAGGTATGCAGGATCAGCAGACACTACTGGACAGGTCCTGTTTCCAAAGTCTCCTTCAGTTTCTCACTTTAAGTCTCTGGGCAAGGAGTCCTGTGACAGGGTCTAAGGATACAGAATGTTTTTTCCATTGAAACTCAAAATGATGGCTGGCTGGTTAGAGGCATTGGATGACAAAAGTTTTGTAATATCAAACTTTGGAGAATTCTTGTGACCAAGTAAGAGCTAGGACACTAGTTGGGCTTCTCCTTCCTCCCTCTTACATATCAAGGACTGTTAGCTTTGAAGCTGACCCTTACCATTCTGGAACACCAATAGCCCAATCAAAATATTCCCAAGAAAACAAGTGGTATTGGCTTTCTGCCTGATACCATATTGCAGCTGTATTGTATAGGCAGATTTCAGGCACTTCTCTTTCAATTTGGAAATTGAAAAATTGATTGAAACTTGGCAGTCTCCTTGAATTTCTATAGGCTATTTTATGGAGCAAGGCTTGCCCAGCCTAGGTGAGACGAGTCAGTATGGTTGGGTGCTGGCGGTTCACAGAGTCATAGTCTCCTGTCTGTAGTCTCAGTTCTAAGTTCCAAAATCTGGCTATGTAGTGAAAGAGAAGCCAATTAGGAATGGTGGGAGAAAGTACATCTTCCATGAAGTCATCTGTTTTTACAGACAAGGACTCACCTGAAGTCTTCTTTGGTTATGACCTCATTCCTTCAGAACCTGTAGATATTGTACTTCTATCACCTCTGTTGCCTCTCCCCATTGAACCTTCTTGTAAACTGGGCATTCTGTCCTTTTCTCAGATAAGTGGCTTTGAAAAAAAGAAAGCAGAAATGCTTGCCCCAGAATTTTCATCTTGTCACAGAGTAGAATTTCCAGGGTGGCCTAGAAGAATGGATGTAAGAAAGGGGAACTGACTTCCTGCTTCTCTCCATGAGCAAATAGCAGTAGCAGGACATGCTATAAAGAATAAAAGAGGGGGTGTCAAACTGCTCCAAGAACCTGCTAATTTTACTTTTAATAGGAAATGAAACCACAGTCCCATGAGTGAGGTGTTGTAGAAGTGCTTCTTCTCAGATCCAGCCATGGTACAGAGTTCAAAAAAGGTTGGGTCCTTACTCAATCCCTTCCTAATAATGTGACTTTGTGCAAGTCATTTGGTATCTCTGGAACTAAAATCTCTCATATGCAAAGTGGGAATAGCAATACTTTTTTTTTGCCTGGAAGCAGGGTCAGATCTTTTTGCAGTTCCTTCCAGCTCTAAGATTTTCTGAACCATGGATGCAGGTCCTCAGTGTAAGTCAGATTTGCACTAGCCAAAAACTGAACGGGGGATATTGTCTCCTGAAGTGGAATAGCCGTTGACAAATTGATTTATTAAAGCTCTGTTTAGTCATTTTTGCTGGGAAGGATAATCATTTGTTAGTGTAAGTAAAAACCTGTGCCTTCCAGAGAATGCTATCCATTTATATATACTCTGAGGAGAGTGTTCATACATACAAATGATGGCCAGTCCCTCATTTGGGAAGATGAACTTCATGAAATTTCACACATTTATGGCAACGTTGGTGTGTGTGGGAGTTTATTACCAGGCATTAAATGACATCAAAACCACAAAGTTTGACATAATTCAATAGACATGATTCCTCTGATTCAGTACCTATCTATCAATGGCATGGAAGGGTAATGTTTGGGAGATCAGAGACTTGGATCTCAGTTTCTTCATTCTATTATTAATCAATTATGCATGTAGAATCTTTGAATATGACTAAAGCTTCCTCAAACTCATTTGTGTTTTGTTTGTTTAATATCTTGGTGTGAATGAACCTGTGAATTATTACTTCTGGGTGATATTTGCTCCAAAAGTATGCTAGCCTCCGGAATTTTGAGATTCTTATTCAGATAATCTAGGGTTTGATGAACAAACAAGTGTTTCCATCTATTCCTTTGCATTGTTTTTTGACTTCAGTATGGTTGATCCTTTTGGTCTTCTTTATTGCAAAAAACTGAACCCAAAACATGCTGGTCTATCCTCACATGACAGCTTTACCTATGAGATTTTAAACTGTAAATTTACAACTAAAGGCAGAATTATATAGTGGAAGATCCATGGGTTCTAATTACTCTGGGTTAGAATTTTAGCTGAACTACTGACTTAACCATATGGTTTGAAGAAACCTTGTAAAACTATGAGATCATTTCCCCATTAATAAAATGTGAATAGTATGTGTGTAGTGTTACCTGTACATGGCATGTACTCAGTAAATAAGGCCTTAATAGTAATATTGATGATTTAACAATATTCTCAGAAGATACTGTTAAGGTGATCAGGTTACTTAGATCTCTTTGTGACCCTAATTAATGAGCATGATAGTTCTTTTGGTCACCATGAAGAGTCCTCACCTAAACTCGTGAAATATTACAGCCTGAAAGGACTTTAGAATATGTTCTAGAGTAGTGCTTCTTAAATGTTAATGTGCTTATCAATCACTAGGAGAATCTTACTGGACTAATGTCCAGCTTATAACTCAGAAGGTTTAGGGGGAATTTGAGATTCTGCACTTATATAACAAGATTCAGGTACCAACTTAAGAGTAGAAAGGGTATAAAGTTCTTACCCAAACCATGATACCCAGAAAAGAAAGCACCTTTTCAAATGACTTGATAATTGAACCATGAGTGCTTGCTTTCCAGTTATACCTTTCAACTCCAAGTTAGAAAGAACCCAGCTCTACTGAGTCCCTGCTAATTGCAATACCCCAATCTGGGAACTGCAATTGAAACCTTCAGGGCACTTGGACAGAAGCTGTGTAATACTTGGAACAATCTCTCTTTCTAATCCCTCTTTCTTTGTGAAGCTTTATTTGCCCACCAAGCCTAGCAGTATTGTAACTTTTTGCTTTGACTGTAGCCCTCTAAATATAACCAAGTTATAGAAAGGAATATGGTTTACCAACGATACTGGACACATGCATTCACTTGCTTGGTTTTATGCTCTATTTCTCGATGGTGTCTTTAGGAGCATGGTCAGATGAAAGGTATAGACTTTGGAAGCTGACAAATAGCCGTGAATCCATAACTCGCCATCTGTTTAACTTCACTTGTATGAATTCCAGTTTTTTGGAATGACAGAAGCAATAGTATATATCTATCTGCAAATGAGTGATACGTAGTATATACAAATATGAAAAAATGTACCTTTAGCACAGTGCTTTCTCACAGAAGGTGCTCAGTCACTCAACAAACATTTGTTAAATATTTGCTATGTATTACATACATTTCTAGGCATAGGGGATAAGACAAGCTGGCATTTTATCTATCAAGGATCCTACTCTCAGGAGAAGAGGATCAAGGTATACAAACAAATCCCGACATGTGGGAGAAGGGTATGGTTGAGATAGATTCATTAAAAGAGGAATGAGAGCTCCCTACTATATACATGACTCTACTGACATGTCTAAAGTAACCTTCATTAAAGATGTAGTTGTGATAGGGGTGGAGTGGGGTTGGTGCATGATTAACTTACATCCATATTACAATAAATCCTTGACATTTGCAAGGGATACTATTGACATCTTCATAATTTAGAAGAATTCCCACTTTTGTGACTATCACTACAGTCCTTCATGAGAATTATCGGCTGTGAGATTACAGCATACAGTAACAAAACCTAACAGAGATATGAGTTTAGCCTGCATGCTAATTTCACTCATTAAACAAATGACTGGCTCCTAGATCCCAGGCTCACAGCACGCCTCTGCAAAATAACAGATTATTGCAGCCCATGGACCTTTGGGGTCTCTGGGAATACTCAGCCACAGATGTCAAAAATGCAAATGCCAGGATCTACCATAATTAAATAGCACAGTCCTCCTTCAAAGAACAGAATAGTGGCTGTGCCGCATGTGTCCCAACCAAATACAAATGTTAAAGCTTGAAGGTATCTGACTGCCCATCTTATCAATTATGAAGCTCAGATTCAGAGAGGGAAAGTGACTTGTCCAATATCATGTACCTAGATATGACAGAAAGTTAGGCTTGGGAAGGATTTGAGAATACAGATTTAATGCCTCTGCCTTTCTGGTTTGGATTTCTTTGTTTTATTTTTACTCACTGGTAAAATGTTAAATTTAGGAAGAATATGGCAGTTCTTGGGTAAAAGATACTCTAGAAGTACAAATAGAGGTGTATTATGTGCCTAATGTCTTAACTAAGAGTAATTACTATACACTAGTTTTAATATCTTGATTCACCTTGAGCCTGTTTAGGAAGGGAGACAATGAACCCAGAGAGTTTTTTTAAAGTCTTACTTTCTCTGGATTCTTCTGGCTCTTAAGGTCAAAGTTTCCTCATTCACTTACAAGATGAAGGTAAGAGATATGGGAACAAAACAAGGTGGGAAAGTGAGGAGGGCTCTTCCGGGCAGTCCAGCCTTCCATCAACTTCCTGAATGTATTTGGATGGGACATGAGCTCTCATTCCTCTCCTTCCTTGCCTATGGCCCCATCAACACCATGGGGAAAGTAACCGAGCTGTGGTCATCAACTTATTCAAGATATTTTCTCATTATTATTGCTTTTTTAGTAGTGAAAATTATAGTGAAGTTTATTAGGAAAGGAATATAGTACAACAGGATAAAAGTGGGGAGAAATGGGGAAAAGGGAGAAGCATTTCCTGTCTCCATGCAGTAAATGGGAATAAAGACTCCTTGTTTTTTAAAAGAGAAACGAAGCTATGTTTCCAGAATCCAGTCTGAAGTCTTGTCATAAAGCTGGCAGACTATAACTGATAGTTAAAGAGAGAGAACTGCTTGAACTACAAATAGATCAAGGTCCCCATATGCAAATTCTGTGCCTCCTAGAGACATTTTGAAAGAAACACATGCTTGAAGATTTTGCTAAATAATATGAAAGAAAGCACTAGATACTTAGTCTCAGGTGGCATGACAGTTATCATTCATAGGAATTCTATTCTCACCCCAACCACCAACTAGACACAAGTAAGAAGTGACCCATAAATAGAAAATAATTTAAAATTGAAAGTGGAAATAGCTTATTATAGAAAAATTTGGGGTTTTTTTCTGCAAACTTACTGATCATCAGATATCCGTATATTCAGCCATTGATTTGGCGCCATTGTCTTTACCCTCTTTAACTAAGGGCCAGTGTGCATGGGCACGGTTTGGCTAACCTGTCCCTGCCTGAGTACCACTCGGTTGCCATTCAATGGGTTCCTGAAGAACCACTTATTTGTGAGCCAGACAACACTCTGTAGTGGGTTGGTACTTTCAAAATAAGTGGCACTTGAATAATAACTTCCAAATATGGCAGAATAGGGTTGCAGAATTGATTATGAATGACTACTACTGCCTTCTCTCCCTAGTACTCCATTTTCCCCAGATCTTTTAGTCTTGATTTGTAAACTTTTTAAATTTCTCCTCATGTATTCCACGTGACCTTCACAGATCCTACTACCATCTTCAACCTCCTTCTGGGTTGTGGTGGTGCAAGGGACACTCTACCACTAGCCATGGCCCTGGCTGCACATCGTCATTTTTTTTTTCACTTTCTTCCTGGTGATACCCACTTTCTGTTTTTAGGCTATTTTCTTGCACTTGCTTGCTCTTCTAAACATTGTCCACGTCAGCCTTTGTTCCTCCACTGTGCACATGCCAGGTGCTGTAGAGCTTCTGTTGTGGTTCCTAGTCCTCCTTGCACTCAGCACCTTCCCACTCAATGCCTTTAGCCACTCTACTCTCCTAATCTGATCCAGTTCCCAATATTCCCTTCCTTCTCACTGTTGGCATCTCTACTTAAGTTGCCTTCTGTCCCCTCTGATCTATGAGTTCTTTGAGTGAGCAAAAAGGAGCTAGGAAAGTATCCTTCAAGGAAGCCTGTCATTTAGACAGCAAGAACTAGCTCCAAGGTACCACCAAGATGGATCTCTCCCAGGAAACAAACCACTCATGATGGTGCTCTCCTTTCCTTCACCATAAAACATTTGCCTGACTCTATGTGGGGACAGGAAGATTTAATCACAAGGATCCAGCAGAGACTGGAATGAGTGTCAGAAAGCCATCAGACAACTCTTAGGATTGCCTTCTCTTTCTGATATGCTCCCTCCTGGGCCACATAGTCTCCTGGCATATTTACTTCTCTCCATGGTCTTCTTTATTACTTATAGCTTGCAGTGATACCTTACAGACTAACATACTCTCTTCATATATGGTTCAGCCTCTTTACTCTGATAGGCTCACTAGTATTCTAGCTCAAATTTCTTTTTTTTTTTTATTATTCATATGTGCATACAAGGCTTGGGTCATTTCTCCCCCCGCCCCCACCCCCTCCCTTACCACCCACTCCGCCCCCTCCCTCTC